GCCTGATGGTGAACAGGAAGGTGAGGGGTGAGGCAGGCTGCCGGCAGCCAGGGAAGATGGCCCTAATCTCAAGCTAGGCCTAGGAACCATACTCGCACATGAATTTCGTTCGCCGGGAGTCTACTAAAAATATATTTAAGGGAAAAAAAATATTGACAGCCCTACTTGATTTGGCTCAGTGGATAGAGCATCAGTCTGCAGACTGAAGGGTCCTGGGTTCGATTCCAGACAAGGGCACATGACCAGGTTGCAGGCTCGATCACCAGCAGGGGGCGTGCTGAAGGCAGCCGATTAATGATTCTCATCATTGATGTTTCTAATGTTTCCATCTCTCCTTCTCCCTTCCAATCTGAAATCAATAATATATTTAAAAAATTGACAGAGGTTGTGAACCTGGTGATAGGACACAGGTGTAGAAGAAAAAAAATGATGCAGGGACATAGAACTGGCAAGACACCTGTGTAAATAACAAATTATAACATACACATGTGGCTCAGTGGGTTCCCATTCAAGGTACATGTCCCGGTTGCATGGTCAACCCCCAGTAAAGGATGCACATGATGGAGCTGACTATGTGTCATCACAGATGTTTCTATTTCTCTCTCCATCACCCTTCCTCTCTGAAATTAATAAAAAGTTTAAAAAATAAGTTCAAAATACACACACATGATATTCACGGCACTCAAATTTATTGGGAATCTCCCTACTCTTGATGTTGCAGTGCATGAGATTCAGTTCAGACAAATAGGGCCTCATGGAGTTTCTTATAGTATTGTTATGGGTGAACAAAATAATCTACATTTCCTACATATCCAAGACCTTCCTCCAATGTGAACTCTTATGTGGGGAGTAGGGTTAGAATTTTGGATAAAAGATTTCCCATATTAACTACACTCATCAGGCCTTTCTCTAGTGTGAATTTTCTGATGACAACTAAGGCAATACTTGGTGGTAAATGACTTCCCACACTCACTGCACACATAAGGCTTTTCTCCAGTGTGAACTCTCAGATGACGACGGAAGCTACTACCACTGATAAAAGATTTTCCACATTCATTGCACTCATAAGGCCTTACTCCAGTGTGAATTTTCTGATGACGACGGAAGGCACTACTACTGGTAAAAGATTTCTCACATTCATTGCACTCAAAAGGCCTTTCTCCAGTGTGAACTCCCATCTGATGGTAACGGAGGCTACTTCCACAGGTAAAAGATTTCCCGCATTCACTGCACACATGAGGCTTTTCCCCAGTGTGAATTCTCTTATGACGATTAAGGACATTATTCCGAGTAAATGATTTCCCACATTCACTGCACTCATAAGGCCTTTCTCCAGTGTGAATTCTCTGATGACATTGGAAGCCATGTTTCTGAATAAATGATTTCCCACATTCACTGCACTCATAAAGCCTTTCTCCAGTATGAACTCTCTGATGATAACGAAGATGATAGATACTGTTAAAAGATTTCTCACATTCATTGCACTTATGCCTTTCTCCAGCGTGCAATTTCTGATGATAACGGAAGCCACTACTACTGACAAAAGATTGCCCACATTCATTGCACTCATAAGGCCTTTCTCCAGTGTGAACTCTCATCTGATGGTAACGGAGGCCACTTTTACAGGTAAAAGATTTTTCGCATTCACTGCACTCATAAGGCATTTTCCCAGTGTGAACTATCTGATGATCACGAAGAAAACACATCCTGGTAAAAGATTTTCCACATTCAATACATTGATAAGGCCTTTCACCTTTGTGACATCTCTGATGAGAAAGGAGGCCAGTAATATTGGTAAAAGAATCCCCAAATTCACTGTGCTCATAAAGCTTCTTTTCTGCATGAAATCTCTGATGGTAACAAAAAGTAGAAAATTGGGCAAAATATTTTCCACATTCAGGGCAACAGAAATATGCTTTGCCAGTAGGGACACTGTTGTCCCAAATAGACGTGTAGTTATAGTCAATGGCTTTCTTACTTTCTTTTGTAGTAAAATAATTATTTTTCCCTTGATATGTCACCCCACACATTGAGATACCATTTGGCTTGTCACTGATCTGAGTATCCTTTTGCTGGAAATGGCCTGCAGTGCTAAGGATGTCCTGCTCCACCTCTCCACAGGTAAAAAGGTTCTGAAACACATTGAAATTGCAGCTGTTTTCAAGTGAGACACTGTTCACACCTCTTATCAAAGGCTTCTCTCTCAAGTGCTGCTGCTGGTGCTGGTGAAACTGTGCACTGAAATAAAATTGTTTTGCACATGCCCCACACCTCAACAGTATCTGCCTGTGTTGTAATGCCTGCTGATGAGTCAAGTGGAAAATGTTTCTCAAAACTAGTCCACAACTCTCACAGGGGTGGCTTTTCTGGGAAGACAAAGCTAACTTGGGATTCATTGCCTGTGACACTCTTACAGAAATGTTCTCTTCAAAAGGTGCCTCCACATTCTCTGCTCCACAGCAGCAACCTAAATAAAAGGAAATGCAGGTGAAGTACATGATGACTTTGGAAGGAAGAAATACCCTCATCTCAACTGTCTGTCACAGCCAGGCATGATTGCATGGGATGCTTTTTAAGACCAGTGAGTTAGACTCTGAGGAAATGGCTGTTATACATTACTTGACTCCTAAGGTCACTCAATGGTAGAGACCTTAGCAAGGGAGGGGCAGGAACACATGATGGAACACAAACAAGAGAGGCAGGGCTCCCAAGTTGTTCCTTTACAAACAGCTTCCTATAGGACCATTCTAACTGTTGATGCAGCCTGTGTAGAACAATATGAATGTGCTTGAACATATTAAAACCCAATGCATTCCAGCACATGATGTGTATGGTTAATATAATATGTGACACACCAAGGCTGTAAAGGCATGGATCAAGGTTGGAGTGCAGTAAAGAGGAACCTGTATGGGAAGCAGTTGAGGTACATAGTTTAGAGAGGTAAAGATTATCCATAAGCTGGAAACCTAAGTGGAAATTATAGCAGTTAGAATGGAGTACTTTAGCCATAGATAGTGTGGCAACGTGGATTGAGCATCATCCTACCCATTGAAAGGATGCCAGATCGAATTCCTGTGAAGGCACATGCCTAGGTTCCAGGTTCAACTGTCATTTGGGCTGCATACAGGAGGTAACCAATCAATGTTTCTCTCTCATCACTCCTCTCTCTCTCTCCCCTCCCTGTGTCTAAAATAAAGAAAAACCTTTTAAAAAATAGAACTTAACAGTTTGCAAAGTGTAAATAATAAACAAGCACAAGTAGAATGGGGTACAGAACTGGCAATGGTAACAAAACAATGTTGAACAAAATAAGTTCTTACTTATAATCTTAATAAAGCTCTTGTGTCAAACTCTACCCAACAGCCCTTCACCAAGGAAAGATGGCCTCTGGGTCCCTCCTGCCGTGGATGTAGTCATCTTTCTCTTATAATGCAAAAATGATTCTTCCTCTTAAATCCCAGTTGAGCAATTACATTGGATGCAGATGACAGAAATTCTCAAAGAAAAACTGAAAAGATGCATGGCCAGTATTGTGGTAGAACAAGAGAGCATGGATGAAACAATAGAGAAAAAAAACAAACCGAAGCAGAATAAAAAATAAAAATAAAATAAAAAACTATGTGAGTGACACCAGCAATATAGCAAAATAGGAGATAGAAGAATTTATCTTCCTGCCAGAATAAGTAGACAGATATCGACAAATAAACAAATAAATACCCACCAGAGATGGGAATAAGAGCCCAATAAAGACAAAGAGCAATGCAAAAGACTGAAAAAGGAGAAAACTGCATAGAAAGGATGACTGGGAAGATGGTAATCAAAAAGATTTGAAGATAGCTAGGGTTAAAAACCACAGCCAGAGTAACAATACTCAATGAGTGGAATGTTCTGTGAAATACACTGAAAAGTTTTGTTTTGGAAAACTGCAAAAGCCCATATAACATCTGTGTATTCCCCACAATTTACACATCAAAGGACCATTTAGTGTTTGTTGGTATGAATTATCAAAGAAATACTTTTGGCCACAACCTACCATAGAATAGAAACAGAAATCAGTATGTCCCCAGCAATATTTTTCACCCTCAATTGTCAATGAAAAAAATGGCTACCAAAGTCATTATGGACTCATACATTATCTATACTCTATACTAATAAAAGGGTAATATGCTAATTAGACCGGACATCTTCTAGACATCCTTCCGGGTATCTTTCTGGAAAAAGCCACAATGGTGGGGGCTGAGGCAGAGGCGGTTAGGGGCGACCAGGCTGGCAGGGGTGGGCAGTAGGGGTGACCAGGCTGACAGAGGAGGGCAGTTAGGGGCAACCAGACAGGCAGATAGGTGAATGGTTAGGAGCCAGCGGTCCCAGATTACGAGAGGAATGTCAGACAGTCCAACATCCCCTGAGGTGTCCAGGAATGAAGAGGGTGTAGGCTGGGCTGAGGAACATCCCCTCCAACCCCCCATGCACGATTTTCATGCACTGGGCCTATAGATTATTATTATGACCTCAACTCATAGAGCATCAAGAAGGCAAGACTTTTGAATCTTTTCTCAAGATCAAAACAACGCCCCTCCCAGCCAACAGCCTTTATCACTCATGTAGATAAATCTAATTATCATTACATAATTGGTCCATAAGGGTGAAAGGATTAAAGGAGTAACTGCTTCATGATGTGTGAAGACACTTAATCTATACTAATAATAGCCAAATATGTAAATTGATGGTCCCTCCATGACAACCACAGCCAATCAGGAGTGAGCATGCAAATTAACCCGACAAAGATTGCGGGCCTGTGGGCAGCGCACATGTGCACAGGCGCCAAGCAGCTGGGGGCGGGATGGGCCACAGTCCTCCCCAGAACCCCATGTGCTCCGAGCCTGTAGCCAGCACACGCCGGCACCAAGTGGCCAGGGTCCCGGGGACACTACCAGAGTGTCCGGTCTTGTCTGCTCGGCCTGGGGGCAGCTGGAGTTCCCAGTCATTTTGATTTTTGCAGTCCCTGGATTGGAATCAGAAACCAAGAGCGCAGGGAGCACCAGGAATTCTGGGAATCGTAGTTCTGGTGGCAGACGTGCTATGGGATCTCCTAGACACTAGAGCGAAGTGAGCCAGGAGTTACTGTTGCGGGTGGGGGATGGAGGAAAAGCAAAGGTTAGAATCATAAGTAACGTCAGAGTTTTGAGGAAAAATTAAAAGGAAGATATCCTGCAACTTCTAGGAAATCTCCACCAATGGAGCAAAGAAAAAAAAAAGACCACTATTATTCTGTGAGCACCAAACTAAACTGGGTTGGGGACTCAGACAATTCGCTCATATGATTACAAAGACAGACAGAAACTCCTGGATTGGAGAGGGCACCCATGAGGGCTCCCAGATTGGAGAGGGTGCAGGTCGAGGTGAGGGACCCCCCCCCCTTGCATGAATTTCGTGCACCAGGCCCTTAGTACAGTAATAAAAGAAATACTAAAGGGGAGAAAAAATGGCAATGGAATAAGTGGAAGGCACACTGACAAGCTCTCAAGACCAAGCTGGTAAGACAACTAACACATTGTATGCGGGAAACGTATTTATACATTTTACGTTGACTGTAAGTAGTAGAGCCACCTGTTACTACCCGCAAACAATGTGCTAAAATGCAGGACAACCATCCTGAAAAATCAGCTGAGCACTAGCTGGAGAGAACCCTGATAACACAGAACGGGAAGTGGGGATTGCATACAGACTGGTAGGTAGTGTTGAAGCACAAAAGGGATGGCTGGGTTCCCATAGACAACAGTTGAATTTTGGAAGGATATTTTGGCTGTGGGTGTTCCCACTAAGAACTCTGGTGTCTGAACCCCAAGTTGAGATTCCCAGCCCAGAGTACGAGAACTGAGAGGGGTGCCTGCAAAACATATGGCTATGAAAAGCGGCAGGGCTGCAGTCTGGCAGCGAGACAGCTGGAAACACAGGCACCCTCTTAAATGAACAAAATTTCGAGTGCAGCCAGTCACCATGGGCTCTGGCAGACGGAGGGCAGAGTGGACTGGAACTGTATGAGCAGAGTCCAGGACTGGGGTCTCTGGGGTTGGAGCTCTGAGGGCAGCCACCCTAGTATCCTGTGCTAAGTCATTTCCTCATGATGTGAAGGACATCTTTCTGCTGTGGACCTTTGCCATCCAGGCAGTTTTTGCCTGGGGGAAGCCAACTGTCACACCCTGTTGGAACACCTCTCACTCCACCCTGCAGTCAATAGCCTGAGGGTAATCAAGGCAGACAACAATCAGACTGCAGGCTGAGGTGGGTCCTGGAGGCTTTGAGTCTTTGCCTGATCTCCTTGTGGGCCAGGGATAGGAAAAGCAGACCTTGGTGCACATCTTGGTCCTTTCCAAAGGAACCTGCCACAGTAGAGGGACCCCCAAACTGCGGATTGCTGATAGCTCATAACTGGGTATACAGTTCCAATCACAAGGAGTGTCTGACATTGTCCTACATTAGAGATCAGAAGTGTAGCAGATCTACCCAAATGCAAACAGGCAGCCAAAATGGCGAAACAAAAACATAACCCCCAAAGAAAGAACAAGAGAATTCTACTGAAGAACTATCATTCAAAATAGATGGTGAAATAAAGAAATTTCCAGACAAAAAAAAGCTGCCCTGACAGGTTTAACTCAGTGGATAGAGTGTCGGCTTGCGGACTGAAGGGTACTGGGTTCGATTTCAGTCAAGAGCACTTGCCCGGGTTGCGGGCTGGATCCCGAGTAGGGGGCGATCAGGATGCAGCCAATCAATGATCCTCTCTCATCATTGATGTTTCTCTCTCTTCCTGTCCCTTCCTCTCTGAAATCAATAAAAATATATATTTTTAAAAAATATTTAACCCTACAACTTGAAGAACTAGAAAGAGAGGAACAAGAAAAGACCAAAGTAGAAGGAAGGAAATAATAAAGATTAGAGGAGAAATCATTTGGAGGCTAAAAAAACAATACCAAAAAATATCAACGAAACCAATATCTGGTACTTTGAAAGTATAAACAAAATTGATGAACCATTAGCCAACCTCTTGAAGAAACAAAGAGACAGGAGCCAAATAAATAAAATCAGAAACAAAAGCAGTCAAGTAACAACTAATACCACAGAAATACAAAGGATTTTAAGAAAATACTATGGCCCAAGCTGGTTTGGTTCAGTGGATAGAGCGTTGGCCTGCGGACTGAAAGGTCCCAGGTTCAATTCCAGTCAAGGGCATGTACTTTGGTTGCAGGTACATTCCCAGTAGGAGGTGTGTAGGAAGCAGATGATAGATGTTTATCTTTCATCGATGTTTCTAACTCTCTATCCCTCTCCCTTCCTCTCTGTAAGAAATCAATGCAATATATTAAAAAAAAGAGAGAATACTATGAACAACTATTGGTATATACCAGTGATGGCGAACCTTTTGAGTTCAGCGTGTCAGCATTCTGAAAAACCCTAACTTAACTCTGG